ATATATATATATAAAATCATTAATCTTGTTACTTTTTAATAACTTACTTGCAAAATAGATGGATGGAGAACTTTCTCAAATTTAAGCTTTACGGGCGGAGGATTAGTTGCGGTAACAGCATCTGCGATTTCCTCGCCAATAGTAAAGGCCTCTTCTCGAGATTTTCCAGGTAATAGTATAAATAAAGAATCTGTATCCCCATAAACTACTCGTGCGCCCCATCTAGGTGTTGTTTCCACCAATTTGATCGCACGTTCCAATGTCTCTCGCCCTTTGCTAACTACGCTATCACCTATCTATTAAAAAATGTTATAATATTATTTTCACAGCATGTTAAAAAATTTTGTCAAATTATTCTATTTTTATATATCTCATTAAAACATTATACCTCAATACATGGCATTCTACCGCTAAAATTGGCGGATGTATAGCCGTAAGTAACGTTTGCAATTAACTTGAGACCCAATTGCTGAGAATGAAGAACGCGCTGCAACGTACGATTTTCTGCTGGATGCAGCTTCATAGATTCCTTCACCATTAGACGCGTATTCAAAATTTCCGAAAGCATACGCGGTAATATTCCTTGACGTACCTCTTTCTTTACAAAGGCTACGCCGCAAGGCGAAAAGTTTATTTTGTCTTGCAACTTTAATGCCGTATTCTTCCTTACTCTTAACGTTGCTGCACCAAACTCGAACGGCCCGTATCTAATAGAGGAAAATATCAAATTAATGAGTTTAATCTGATTTTTCCAATATTATAGATATACTCACTGGCCTATGTGTTCTATTCTCCCTAAACAGGTAGAGAAACAATAGTTATAAGCAATAATCATACTCGGATATAAACTTTGGAAATCAAGCACGATCAATGGATCGGTATAAAATTTAGACTCGGGTTCCATGATCAATGGCAGACATTCTGGAGCTCGCATCTTAGCTCTCTGGTGCATGGATGGCGAGATCGGAATGTAATTCATGGGTTTTGCTAATCTGAGCATCATAGACTCCACGCGAAATTGCGAGCCTCGCGAGAAAACTTCATAAAATTGTATACCGAAAAGTCGGGCGAGTTCACACGTGCGACCTATAATGAAACTTCAGAATAAAATAATGAATTTAAAAAATTGAGAATAAATAATAATAAATATTATAAAAGTATAAAGAGAAAAATTAAGAGAATTTGAATTTTTAATTTTTACCTATAACATCCAAATGACCTAGAAGCTTGAGAGTACCCACAACTCTGACGATATAATGATGTATAACTCTGCTTTTTATTATCATGCTCTCCTGTTTCCACCAAGTAGACAACGTCTTGAAGGAAGGACACGGAACTCTTTCATGTAAAACGTGATGCATGACGTTCTCAAAGGTGTACGTCAATAACGCTGGAAGAAATTAAATTTTTATATCTTTTTGAATAGAAAAAAATATAAAGTGATCTTAAAAGATATAGAAAATATCTCACCTGCTTCATGTCTCATAATTCTCCAGACATCGAGGAGATTGCGACCAGATACTTTTACATCACCTATGTCATCCTTTTCAATCGCGTGAGCATCGGATTTGGAATATATTTGCATATGTGGAATCTTTGAGATTTTCAGTGGAAAGTTATGGAGACCAAGATGAAATGCTCGTTGAAAAATGTAGCCCCATGAAAGAACCTCCACTTCCCAGCCAAGTAGAATGTCTGGATTGTGCCGCTCAATCAATTTTACAAGGCTGTTGAATGCATCCTGTTCCGTTGCAACATATAGAATTGGACACCTCGCACTAGCAGAATGGATCTTGTTGAGTCTTGCACTTATAGAGTTAGAATTTACAATTATAGCGGCTAAAATAAAAAAAAAAAAGATATTATCTGGATAAGTTTTCGTTATACTTGAAGAAATATTAAGTTTCTCGATTTGCAAAGCGAAGTTTCGAAAAATATAAAATATTCTTCACATAAAATTATTAGTATTAATCACCATGTTCTATTTGCTCATCTGTCGTAGCATCTGTTGGAGCGTCGTTGTAAATTGCGTAAAATAATGCAGCAATAGAATCATACTGCGGATCAGGGAGAAGATCTTCTCGAGTAACAGCGTGCACTTCGAGAGACAATAACGTTAAATACTGATGCTGCAGAAAATTTAAAGAAACGTGAAATGAGCTCTAGATTTGCTATATACAAATAAAATTAAAATAATACACTTACCACTGTTACTGCTCTAGCTTTTTGAAGATTTTCGTTCGAGACATTACTTTCGTAGCTTCCTTTAGATGAACATTCAATTTGACCGTACGAAACACCTAGCTGCGTCTTATGTTGTTTATGTAATAATGGATTTGCCAGTGCTCTTTTTAAGGAAGGATCTAAACTCTTTTCTGATATCAATGAATCATTAGAATTTTGTATCTCTAATTTCCTGGTTTCATCAAATGTTTTATTCAGCATGCTTTGTTGAGGCATTGGTGAATCTATATAACGCTCCACGTTTAAATTATTATTGATTAAATTATTAGACGTTCCTGGCTGAGATTTAATCTCTTCGTTAGTGGCATTAATCGACGGATGCTGTATGTCTTGTACATTTAACGCCTTTTCTTTATTCTGCTTACACGATTTGGCATCAGAATTTTTTTTCGATATGTATTTTTTAGCTCTAATCCAATCTCTAACATTCTTAGAAGATGGTGGTTCTATAAGTGGTTTAATTGTTAACGAATTATATCCTGCAAGCGTCCGTTTGATATGATAAGATTTTATACTCGCTCCAGACGGATAAAATTCATTGACCTTCATTCTTCGCCACAGTTTAATACTCGTGATTTCTTCCAGACTAGATTTAAATGCAGGTTCGTCGAAATATGAAGCGTTAGTATTCAAGAATTCTTTCTGTTTCGCGAGATCGAGTTTGTTGCTGAAAAACGGTTTTTGCGATCTACATTTCGGAATGCCGTACATCGTCATACTTTCCAGAATCCTTCCAGGACTAGGAGGCTTATATTTCGTAGTAATTGTAATTATTGCATTTTTCGATGAACGACGAACCCTCTGCTCCGACATCGAACTTTGACTGTCGCTCTCTATCTTTTGGTTGAGATGTTGGGTGAAAGTTATATTACATACATCTTCATCGTCGTCTAGATCAGTTTCAGGAATAACGTCACTATGAATTTTTATAAACTTCTTTGCCAAGTTTTGTATGTCTGACGCATAATTTCTTTCAGGAGATACATCATTAATACTTTTTTCTGTACATTGACTGTTTGGGACACTATCATCACTGTTTGCATTGCTGGAGATAAGTGTAGTTGCCTCTGCATGTACTTGATTACTCGAATGCCCAAGTGCAATTAAAGTTTCAGATTGATTCTTGTTATGATCTGATTTTACAAAAGTATCTTCTTCATCATAATTCAAGAAGGACAATCTTTTACGAACCTCTTTATTCGTTTTAATAAATGATTTTTCACTGCTTTCCGTTCCCTTTTGGTGATCTTGTATTGATTCGTAAATCGTTGTTTTATCAATTTTTGCAATATTACTATAAATATACATATTAAAAAATTACTTGAATGATTTAAATAATTACAATTTTAACTATACAAAATATGCAGATCTTACACAGTATCTATTTCATTATAAGTATCGTTATCAGTGCCATTATTTTCTGAAAAAGGAAAAAGTTTTTCATTTATATAAAAAATAATAAAAACCTATTATTATTAATAAAATGTCACTATTAAATCGAAAGTATGGTATGTTATTTCCATAAAAAATTAATTTCTAATAAATAGAATAAAGCTACTTCAATTACAATATAAATTTAGATTGATAGAGAATAAATCTAATTAAATAAAAGAATTCCTATTCGGTTAAAGCGGATCTACTTGAATTACCTAGTTCAGAGTTAAAAAATTTTTCACGAAGCAAGCTCACACGTAACGGACGTTTTTTGTGTTTTGGTGTAGTAGAAGTTGAAGGAATATCAGGTGTCGGCACGTATTGATTTCTTTTCGGAGATTCGCATTGTCGAACAAGACCTTTATTGGATTTTGGAGATGTAATAGTAATATTAAGAGGCGAGTAATTTCCTGACAACTGTGGACTTCGAGATGTCTTGCCTGGAGAATTATATTTTCTTTTTGGCGTTTTAGCCACATTTTTTCGTTTATTGGATGACTCGTGATCATCGTCTTGAGAATCAAATTTCCTTTTCTTCGGAGTAATCTGAACTATATTTTGTGGTATGTTCTTCTTATCAGACTTATAAGTGCACACGCGTTCTTCTTGTTTTTCAATTGTCACATCAGCTTCGGATTCAGCATCGCTCGAGTCAGCTGTAGCCCCATCAACATTCGATATTGTAAAGTTTACTGAAAAATCATACAGTTCATGATAAAAGCAGTGATTGCTATTTAAAAGGCCTTCTTCTTGAATACACGATTTAAATTCTTGTTCACAATTGCACTTTTCTTTAGAATTTGTTATATAATTGACATGTTCCATGGTGTCAAACGTTTCTATCTCATCTATATCATAAACATCTAAGTCCCGATGATCTAGTTGCAACTGCCATCGAGTAACATATAATTCTTCTTCTGTCTTCTTACTATGCGCAATCCTTTTTCCATTGTCTTTTAAATAACGGTTTTTTCTTGCGACAAAACTTATATCAGTATGCGGATACTTTACAGTCATACCTCGCAAATGTTTGCTTGTTTTAAAAAATATATGAAAATAATATCTATTTACAAAGTTGTATAATTCTTTTCTTAAGTAATATCTATTGGGATTATTTACATTTATATATTTAATAATGTCCATTAAATTAAAATTTCTATATAAAGTACGCATGGCATAATCTTTTCTCGTATTAATGACAGAAACACAGTTATTTCTAGAATTTTTAGTTATTATTTTAGGAAGGCACTGAACTGCCATACAACATGCTATATTATTTTTATTACTCAAACTATTTAAAGTTTTTTCATGTTTTGATACAATCTCATATAAATCATCAACTCCATCAACTTGTGGAAAATTCACGAGCGTGACATCGCCGTCATTTTCTTCAGTAACATTTGAATCATCTGCAGATTCAATGTTCTGCTTATTATCTATAACTTTTACTGTATTGTCATGTTGATTGGATTTCTGATTGTACACTGATTCCCAAGAACTTAGGTCTAGATCAAAACTTGTGATATTTAAATCCTCAACCTCTTCTTCGTCTGGATCATCCTTAATCCGTTCGTTGAACATAGAATATTGAGACCCAAGAACACTATCGTCATCTACATTACTCGCAATCTCATTTTCTTCCGCTAAATCAACTAGCATATCTACTAGTTGTATATCATCTGCATCCACTATGTACAAAATAGATTTTATTTTTACTTTATGTAAATATATATTTTTATAATGCAAAGTAATGTGAATAGAACATGCTTACAAAAACTAGTATCTGTCATATTACTTTGACTTCGAGTTGCATCTAAAAATGCTGACGATGCCAATTGCAACAATTTACAATTATCAGAAATTATTCTTTCAAGATTTTCTTCAGATACAAGAGATTCGCTATGATTTAGAATATGAGATGCATTTAAAACATTTTCATTACTTTCTACTTCAATAGGATATGAAGATATCATCGTATTTGAAGTAATTGTCTCGTTGGTCTAAAATAAAAGAATTAAACCGAATTAATATATACGTATATTAATTATATTATCATAATCTGATGGAAATAATGTGAAATACTTGTGATATAGCATTCAGTCTTTTTAATAATTGATCCTTTTGATAAACATCATTCCTAGTTGGCGGTAAAATAATTTTGCTCGGAGTTTTAGGATATAATAATTGCGACTTTGCATTTTCTAAACTAGCTTCGGCTCTCCTTGTTTTCTCTTCATTCCAAATAGCAGCAAGACCAGGATTCAGCTCTAATTTTTCATTGACACTTTGCCTATTCAGAATCTCCGAAGCGTGCACATCCACTTCCAATTCGCACATGCTTTGCCTTGTTATTGATATCGGAAGATATGCTTTTGAATCTAGAAAATCCATTGATGATCTGCTTTGACTATCTTCTGTTGCACATCCTTGCAAAGAGTGTCTGTATTTTACGCTATTTAAATTAATTAAATTCATGCCATAGAGATTGTAATCTATCATAAATTGTAGAATATACGGAATATGTGCCTCATATGGCTGCAGAGTTTGATTGAGAACAACACCATTCTGAAAAGAAGTTTGTTTCACATTGTTCAATATCTTCGCTTTAAAATTACATACAGTACTATATAATTATATTTTCTATGCAAAAAAATAAAGCAGAATTATTTACCTGCAGCAGATCTGCCGTCCTTTTAATTATAGCTGGATTATAAAAATATATTTTAAAAAACATATGTTCTTTCTCATGATAACCATAGAAAGGTCTACAAAGTAACATATGTATTATGCAATAAATAAAATAATAAATAAATAAAGAAAAATAAATATCTTTCTTCTATTAAAAATAAAAACGATTCTGATTTAAATTTTGCTTACATTCCTGATACTCGTTGAATTTTGTACACATGTTGGTTGGTAGACAAAGTGGAACCAAAAGATGTATTGAGTGCAGAATCAATCGCTGCAGCCAGTTGATAAGCATAGCTATCCGTATTCCCTTGGACAGTGCATGGAACATATAGATATGGAAAGATACCGTGAATATGTAAGCATGTCTTCTTTCCTGGAAACCGTCAAATTTTATAAAGACAAAACTTTTTGACAACAGCTTAGCATAATCTATAACATATTATGAACATAAGATTATCTGCTATTTTTGTTTACATTTACCTGTGGCAGTTGAGCCGAATGCTCTGATTATCGGTACTTTTTTTATCTCGGAGCCACGAAACTCTGAAAATGTCACATCCAGCTCAGGTATCGGGGATGCTTGATAACTATCAATATTTACCAAAGTGATGGAAAACATGTTCTGCAATGAGAATATGTATAACGACTACAAATAAATATGCTTAAAATACAACAGCGTAATAGTATTCTGTTAAAAAGAATAACGAGTCTCCGCTTATGAAATGCAGATCATTGAGAATCGAGACACATGCGTATCGACAATATAAACAAACAGAATATAGTAGGGAACATAGATAGGTGCGTTCGTTTCTGCACTTTCTATATTTAAAACGAGATAAGTATATATCCAATCCAGGTTTTAGTGCGAGAAGGAGATAGCATAGAAAGTGTAAAAATACTCAAATCTTTTAACCCAGTATCAAAACCAAACAAACTACTTGTTTTATTATATTGCTTTTGATTTTGAAAGAGACATGTTTTATTATAAATATAGATATATAAATTACTATAAATATATATATAAATTAAGAATGAAACTTAAGTTATCAGTAAAGTATTGAACATAAGCTATAAAAAAGTGTATAAAATTTATTAAATTAAATAAGTTTTTTTGATTATCTTCTGTTTTGCATTTAATTATTTATAAACTTATATTTTAGATATATTTGCCAAAAGCAAATATTTTTTATTTTTATGAATAAAACAGTATAAATAAAAATTTTCTTGTTATGCAGCATAGCTTCTTTTTTCTTTTGGAACAACATATTTATAAAATAAATGGCTTGGTGAATTAGGAAAATATCACGCAATTAGGAAATTCGTATATTTGAAAATGTAATTACAATTTATTAAAGAAAGATACTGATATCACTTTATACAAAAGAGAATGGATAGTATAATAGTGATTTAATCAATGTTCGGCCTGACAACCTTCTAGGCTTAAAGCTCTTGCCAGATTTCGTGCAACGCCTATTCGAAAGATTGAAATTTTGTCTTGAAATTTTGGATCGTCGCCATGTGCCTCCACGCAACGTAGCAACTCGTAGCAATCATTTGAAGAAAAGATTACGTCTTCCGCTTCTAACAATGGTATAGCATCCGTAAGCAGGATGGACCAGAAACTGAAAAAAATTTTACATTGTAAGTTGTGTAATCATGAATATTCTTAAAACGAACAACTTACTATTTCGGCGTCAAATTTGAAACTAAAAGGGACACTAACAGACTCGCCGCTTCACGATATTCGTCCATTCCATACATATGATGAAACTCGCAATACTTTCCTATAAAATAAAATTTTATATTAATTACTGTAATCAAGCACAATTAGTTACATAATTTATATAATTACGAGAAATTACATTGTTATATATTACAGAAATATTGATAACTATTCTCGTTGGCTATTATACATAATTCTTTACCCAAAAATGTAAGCCTGTCGCTAGCCAACATGCAGGAGCCCAAGTTCTCTAACAAATCGCGACACTCTAATTCTCCGTATTCCGCGTAATGTTTTAAAAACTGGTCCGCGATATATGTGATAAAGTTGCCATCGTGTGCTTTGAGCGCCCACGTAAGAGCATTGCCCAATCTTCCTTGTCTTATGCTTTTCATCCCTTGGATCTTACATATACTAGTAACTAAAAATTTTTTTAATTATTGTAAATCTTGTTTAAGCCAAGAGAGAAAAGTAGAAAGAAAGAGAGAATTTTACCAACGTGCGGCATATTATTGTCTCGCGCGACGTCAATAATTTTGTTGATTCTCGCCTCTGTGCCTGTTGGTAGCGACTGCAACAAAATTTCTAGTCTAGCTAAGCCTTGTGTAGAGCAATGTATTAAATAACTCGCGCCACACTGCCACAACGAGCGATGGCTCATTAGTGTGGTGCCATACTCCAATATGAGAGATTCATGAAGCTGTGCAGTCACACTGTAATAAGATATTTTAATTTATGATTTACAATCATTCTTTTATCCTGTGTTTATACTCACTTCGTCTTTTCTTTGCTGAAAATGTTTAATTTTCCACATTTGTACAATAGATCCATTAGGTGGGCCGCAAACCAGCCATTATCGCTCATATATTGTATTTCTTTGATAACTTGGTACAAATCATTTTCCATTAAAGCAAGGATTACACGATCCAAATGCCTATTAGCTTGCCATCTCTCAGCAACGCTATTCGCGTAGCGTGAAAGTTCCAGCTGTTTGCAGCAGGGAGCTGAGTAAAATAATTTTGCTGCCAACAATTCATACCATGCTTCAGTGTACATGGAATATTCCCACAACACCGATTCATCTCCCGCTATCAACTGCAAAACAAAAATATTAGCTTTTATATTAAAAAAAAAAGAAAAAACCTTAATATTGCTTTACTGACCTTCATAAGCATTTCCAGATTGTTATCTATAACAAAGCAATTAGTCTCTAGATTTGAGCAAAGATCCATTTGCCAGTGTTTCCACCGCATAATAAATTCGTTTACGGAATATCCGCCATATACATTATAAACTGGCATTGTTCTGATAATATTGTCTGCAGTAATAAATGCTGAATGATCCGCTTTGCTGTGCAATGCCAGAAGACGGCAAACTAGATTTAATTTACCATGAAATGCACAGCCCATTATAGCTTCCCAATAATTTATATTCTCTAAATCAGCACACATAGTTTTTTGAGACAAAATCTTTGACGCTGCCAGCTCTCTTGAAGGAAAATGAAAGCTGATCCACTCTAACAACTGTGGTAGCACAACATCGCCTGTAAACATCATGGAAATCTTTTAGAAAAAGTTTTATGTGTTTAAAACAAAAAGAGCTTTATACTAAATAAAAATTTATATTTATTTTTGTATTTTTATATTATTTCATAAATTATACTGTTCGTTTTATTAACTCAATTTACCTGGTACAATGTCAACATAAAGAATTTCTGTCAAATGCCAAATGCACTCTACTTGATAAAATATAGTGAGAAAATTTTCTAGCATAGTCTTCTCTTCTGATAATGATTCCTTTGGTAATATCTCTTGCAAGTTTTCAACACAGGCTCTCAATATAGATCTATATTGTTTGCTATGTTTGAGAAGCTCGGGCCTAATGTCGCCAGAGGAAGATTTAAGCTTTTGAATTGACAGGAAGATTCCATTGCTCTCATTAACCAGTTTACGCAAAAGTGGTGAGAATAATATGATTTCTGGTCGGAGAAAATGTACTCTAGTATCGCAAGGTGCAAATTGACTTCTGGTATCTAAAATAAATTCTTAATGTAGCAAAATAATTGTTCCTAACTGATATATGTATTAAAAGATACAAATTTATAATATATAACTTCTAATATATATATGTATATATTATTTGGCAACCTTGCGAATATTTATCTACATGTTTGTATGCATGTATCCCAAATCTATTGCTGCTGATCCAGGTTGTCGCGATACCTGCTCTCCTGCAAACATCATCTGCTATAACCTGCAAAACATAAAGTTAACCAGATCGTTGATTAGCGAGTAAAAAGAATTATAAGATTCCCTAGTTTCTTTTAATATCTGTTGTAGTCAAAAATAAAAAAAAATTCAATACAAAAAATTGCATAATTAGTATTAAAAACAAATTTGTGCAGATTGGACTAATAAATAAACTTGCAAATGATTCTTAAAATATCGATTACAGATAGTCTAAATAAATTTACACAATACTTTACATCGTAACGTCGTCTATTTTTGTATTGAAATTTAAAGTAAACATTAAAATATAATATTTATGTATCTGGACACAAATTTTTACGTGTAAATAATATTTTACAAATGTGTGTATATCTCACTAACAATTATTTGAGCATTGTCGACTTCGTCCATAGTTATTCAATTTATTTCTTCTTAAATTTGTAAATCAAGTTGACACTATTATTGCAATTAATAATGTTCTTGTAAATAAATACTTTGGCGGGGTACCGATCGCCATAAAGTCATCGACATGACAATTGACAGAGAAAGGAAAGTGGATGTTTATTAATGAACTCAGTTTCTCTCTAATAAGAGTCATAACATGAGAAAGATGCGCGTTGATTGGTTCATCATGTTTCAAGAATTCCCGCTTTATATTTGAATATTTATATTCGTGTTACTTTTAAATTTCAACATAATTAAAACTAGATATTTTAAAGGTATTAACGAAAAGATTTCTTACATTACGTGTTGAAATAACGCATGCGAGAAGAATTGTTCAAAAAGAGATATATATAATGCTTGTAGACTCAATACATCATGTTTTTATCCTTCTAATGTATATTTTAAAAAATATGGAAATGATAAAATTAATAACAGTTCATAGAATCAATGATCTACAAAACTCACAGTTCAATCTAGTCATTTGTAGATATAAAAAAATAAAGTAATATAATCATTTTACTGAACTAATGCCAAAATATATATGGAATATATATAATTTTCATTAAATTAAAAGATATATGCCATAACAAAGGGATGTGTGTATGCAAACGTTTGTATCTGACATTTTATATTTCGTATAATTGTGCATATAAAGTTTAACAGACATTAGAAGTAAAAAAGAGGTACAAAAATATTTTCTATATTGTCACTCTTCTTATATCAAAATGTTGTAACAATAAGTAGAAGAAATCTTTCGACTGAGAACGTCGTATAAAAATAGTACGTATTATGTAATAGTATGTAATAACAATGCACGTATAAAATTCTACTTCAAATTTAATGATGAAACAGTCGGAAACTAGTATGAGACAACACAATTCCATGTTCGTTACAGGCTTCTATTACTGCTGCGTCATTCGTGGAGCCAGCAGGACTCGCGATAAACTTGACACCACTCTGTAACGAAAGAAAAGAAATCATTAAAAATATCAAATGTAGTATTAATAAATTTATTGTTTAGAAGAAAAGTTGATTGATTAAGCATTTAATTTATTTTTATCAACTTAAATGATTTTATTTATATAAAAAAAAGATAACATAATAATAATTGTACATACAAGTCTAGCCCTGTCCACGTTGTCTCTAAATGGGAAGAAGGCATCGCTGCTCAGAGCAACATTATCCAACTTTTTGAGCCACTCAATTTTATCGCTTTCCGATAATTTTTTAGGAATCACTTCATACATGGCGGCCCAAGTAGCTTCATCCATATCCTTTCCAATAGATCCGTTAACGTAATTATCAATGGCATTAGAAATTTCCGCTCTTTTCACTCCCTTTTTGAACTTCATTCCTGTTACCTTCGGGTGTT